GTACCAGACCAAATTAAAGAAAGATTCCAAAAGATTCTATTTATTAAGATGGAATGACAAGTATGCCCATAAATTAAATTGGCTTTTTTTTTCTCATGTAAGACCAAATACAAATAATGAGAAAAAAACAAAAATCGACACCAAGGTGTCGAAAAACTATGCTACAAATCGACACTTAAGCGTCGAATTTCATAGGTAAAAATCGACATTGACATGTCGAATTTATAGCACAAATTCAAATGTCGAATTTTATACCTCAAAATCGACATCTAAATGTCGAATTTTATACCTCAAAATCGAAATCTAAATGTCGATTTTTACCTGTAAAATTCGACATGTACATGTCGAATTCGTTTGCGCGAGATTTTTTTTGGAAAATCGATATTCTAGCTAAAAAACCCATAAATGCATACATTCTTGGGTTCTTCCATCGTAGAATCTTCTATTTTGATGTCTTCTGACTCCATACTTGTCATCTTTGTAAGATTTGTTGAGTTTTGATAATTTTGAATTTCTAGGTTTTGGGGGTTAATGGGGGAGGAAGGAGAAAGGTCTTGTGGGTTTTGGAAGATGGAGAAGATGAGAGTTGGTCTTGTGATTTTGTGGTCTTGTGATAGAGTTTTTTGTGTTTTTGAATTTTTGGTCTTGCATGTTTCGAATTTTCTATTTTTTTTAATAAATAAGGGTATTATAGTATTTATACATTGAAAATTTTAATTTGGTCTTGCACAAGTGGAATTAGTCTTGCATATAGCCGCAGCCTATAAAATATTATTATTTGTTCGGCACAGGGCCAATGAGATTCCTGGCGATAAATTAACGAGAAATTGACGTCGAAAATTTGGGAGAAATCGGGAGAAGGTAAGGACAGAAATGACTTTACACAGATAGACAACCCGACAACTTGTGGGGGCCCGAAACTCACACGGCTCAACACCTCAACCAATAACAATTTAATGGGGCCCACTTAGAAAAAAATTAGCCAACAAGCCCAACACCCACATTTATTAAAAAAGCAAAGCATGGGAGAGGTGTGAAGTAGAAGTTATATATAAAATATAAATCGTTATTGTTAGACGTCGTTTCAGTTTTAATGATACCATTTCGACTTTAAATGTGATTTTGAATATTTTTCAGTCTAAAGTTAGATTTTTTTTTTTTTTAAATTTAACTATTTCATGCATAATTTGTCACCGACATACAATCTAGTTAATTCAAATTGAATTAGAAAATTAACTCAGAAGACTACAACAGTCGAGCTCACGCTCGAAGTCAAAACATTATTAATAAAATTCAAAACGAACTTTTAATATTTCGGATTGAAATATCATGCATTGAAACGGCTTCTTAATCAACATTTTACACATTTTGGTGAACAAAGTATAAGCAACCGTAGCTATTTTCGAATGCAACACGCTTTCTATATTATTTGAACTCACCTCGTTCGACAACGCAATTGCAATATCATTACTTGATTGGTTTCTTCGTCTCAATATATGAATCTTAATACTACGTTTCTTCCACATCTCCGCCTTTCTCTACCAGCACCCTGCCGCCGACCACACCAACCACGTCACTGTAAAGGGTATCGGTCTTAGTCCTTTTCAATCAAAAATATCTATTTTCAGTCCAAATTCTTCAACCAAGCTTTATATTTCAGTCTAGACTATCTATTTTTAGTCGAAGTTGTTTAACAGCTAAGCTGTTTGATCGACTTTTAGCAAATCCAAAATATTCGGATCAGAATCTAATTTAGATATATTTGAAATTGGGGGTGAGTATAGTGGGTGGGATGGGGACATAGAAGCCGTTGCATGTCTCCCTCAAGTAATAGAGTCAGAAGTAAAGAAAAAAGATACTAATTACAGATAAAAGTATCTGGAAAGTGGGGCCCACAAAATAAAGAAGATACCATTAGTAAATCATGATTATGATAGAGATTAACTTTTTGTTTAATTACATTTTGATCACGCCAAGTTTGTTTGTGTTATTTAGGCCAACATGACAGCAATGCATCCTTTGCTTGTTTTCTTTCCTTTTTCCTTTTTTGGTTGAATGAGGTGTAAATTCTATTTTGGAATTTTATTTTGCAAAAAAAAATATAATAATAATAATTAATTAAGAAACACCGATCTTTTTAAACTCAATTGCTGAAATTTATTATCGACCTTTGCAAAGATCGTTTAGGGTTTCTTTGGATCGGGTTCGATGGAGGTAAATCTTGTTTATCATTTGTTTTCTAAACAAAAAAATTTACTCAATAACAGTTCTGTAGTAACGAAGTCCGATGATATGTAAGCTTGAGCATATAGTAGTAACAAAGTCCGATGACCCAATTGTCAGTCGTAAAAATAACCCATAAAATATATTTTTTTAATTTCCATATAAATATATATATATATTAATTATCTCAAAAGGCTGTAATTTTTACCTGCTCTGTTAGTTTTTTTCTTCTTCTTCTTCTTCTTGGTTGAGGGGGGCCTGCAGGGGGGCCATATTCTCTTGATGAATCAAGTTTCTTTTAATGGAGTAAGACTTTCACAACTACCAATCTACATCAGTAAAAAAGTAAAGATATTAAATTTACTGTTTCAAAGCAATGGACCAACAACAACTTTACCACTCCATTATGGTTGTTCCACCTGATTTATACAAACCATAGTTTTAAATAAGCGGTACAAAAGGCTCGAACTCGAACTCGAACTTTTTGTCAAGTCGTCTCGACTCATTTACACCTCTAATTCACACTGTACGCTCTAAACAATCTTACACTTGTTTTTTTCGTGTTACCTTATCTTCTACAAAAAAGAATCGAAGAATTTGATTCTCGTGATCCGTATGCAGGTTCAATACTATTAGTACTACCATCTCTCATCGCCGATCCAATTGTTCTTCTCCTTCGGGCCGGTGGGGCCCTCTTCTCCATACAACTCCAACGGCAACTTATTAAGAATATTCCTCATCGAATTCTTAACGGCAGGTGGCAACACGTCAATGATCTTATCCAACTCCGTCCTCGAATCGTACACTATACTCGGACCCCACTTCCTCATATACTGCAGCCAACACGGTTCTTTAACACCAAGATATTCGGCCGCAATAATTTCAAACTTTCTACTGGAATGAACACAATAACTGCTCAAAGCAGCATCGTTTCTCACCCCAATTCCGAGCTTCGAAGAACCCTGGATATAACTTCCAGGCCTAGAATAACTAGCGTGGCCGCTTTTCGAAGAATAAATAACTGATTTATTTCCCTCGATAAACTCCAAATCAAAAGCTTCCACCCATTCACCCCCACTGTGCTGCGAAAAATACACACTCCAAAGCTCCCCGGAAAAATTACTTACACGAAGAGTGAAGTGCTCCCAGTCACCTACATGCTCACCGACTTTACTAAGCGAAATATTCATCAACCCCACTTTTACAGTACCCGGCCCGTTGAAGGGGCAAAAAACCCACATCACAATATCCGTGAAAGTCCCGCCTAAAGCCGGTTTAACATGTATATAAAGCTTAGCACTTTCTAAATTTCCCTTCTTTAAAGTCTGCCTTCGATTATTATCACAAGGCAAATCTATCCAATATGTTCCGTCGTTTGTTCCTCCGTTGGGCAGATTCGAACCTTGACTATCAATTGCCTGTCCTGTAGAGCTACTGCTATTGCTGTACAATAGTGCTCCATTCTCGAAAAACCAAGAAACGGAAGACGGTAGATAAACCTCATCCGGATGGAAAAACACAGCGGGCCCGTAATGAGTGACGAGTGCGTGGATTTGATCTATATTAGGCATTGCGTGTAAATCACTATCCAGGTTCTTTAAACAAGCAATGCTTAGCTCTTCGCCTGAACTAAAACTATAACCGCAAAAAAAAGTGCCCACAGAAACGCCTCTCCCATACATCCCACGGTGAAGAGGCCTTGTGTTTCGAATTGTAAGTGGTATTTTGGAAAACTTAGAATGAATGTCCATTATCAGACCGTAAGCTTCGCATGTATCGGTTAAGTCCGAACGGACACATTTAACCTCGTCAAGATCTGGTTTGTCGGACTTGTTCGTCACCACAAAGCCTAAAGATTTGTAACCCTCAGGCGATTGTGGTAACCAGAAGTAACCACATCCATCGAAGCTCTCATCATCATCTCCTTCGTTCGAGCTCCACATTAATGAATAGTCCACGGGTTTCGAGAGAGACGGCATATTATAACAGGAACTGTTTTGCGTAGTCATTTCACGAGCCACGAGAACAAACCCTCGTAAAGGGTTTTCATTAGATTGACAGTAGTGACCGAGGCAGAAAAATCCGTCGGGGATTGAAATCGGCTTGTAAAAACTCACACCTCGTTTCCCATCTGTGGAAAGATTGCAGCCCCAAACGAACTCGAACCGAGTTATTTGGCAAACCTCTAATTCGCCTAATCCAATTCTCGAGGTAGCAAATCCTGAACCTGTGTGTTGAAATAATTAGATGCATTTCAGAAAATCACAATCCTTCATCAAGAGCTAACTATTCAGCTCAAAATGCCCAATGAAAAGCTGCTACTAATAAATTACAGAAATTAATCCCCAAAAAAAAAACCCTTTTTTTTTGCTCAAATATTTAAACACAGAACAATTAATAACACCAGAGATACATACACAAACAAATCAGAATCTAAAACAGCGTGCACGAATCAATTGGTCCTGTCCAAACGACAAATAACAAAGCATTGAACGGAAGAGTGAAAGTACCATAGGATACCTTGGGGCCAATGCGGAATCGGGTCGGGTAGAGAGAAATAATCGGACCCGGGTTGAATGAGATCGGTCACTCTGCTCCAAACGAAACAATTGCATCCCAACATATTATATCCCCGCCAAAAGATTCTCCGCCCAGCACCGTAATAATCGGACAGCACACAAATAATCGGTCGGAAAATCGTCAGGAGTTTGACGACAACGTGAAATTACTCAGCATAAAGGAATTTTTGAGATTTTTTTTTGCGGTAGTTTAGTGACGATCGTCTCTGTTTCTTCTCTTTTTTCAAAACGATCGTTGCTTTTTTTTTTTTTTTTTTTTTTTCTTTTTTTTCTGATAAATAAATAAATTAATTAATTAATAAATAAACGTTTCTTTACTAGGAGACTAATTGTTTAACTTTCAATGTGGGCCGATTACCAAAGTCCGAACCAACAGAACTGTATCAAGCCCATCCCTAAGCAAAAGAATAAAATTGAAGGCCCTTATTTAAAAAAGGGTAAACTTCATTTTACCTACCTGAACTATACCCAACGTATAAAATGCCCCCCTGAACTTCAAAATGAATCAAAATGGTCCCTCCAGATTTTGGGTCAACGTTAAATTCAATTAAAATAGTAACTCCGTTAGTTTTTATGTCTTATTACCTTTTTGCCCTCCAACCTTTTCTTCTTCGTCCCTTTCATTTATATTTTTATTTTCTTTCTTGCTGAATTTTTTTAGCATAAACCCATGAATTGACATTTCAAATTCCAGGAATCCAAGAATTATGCTTTTGTGAGAAATCACCAAAGAATTATGTATCACCCAACCCAAATCC